GAGGAGGGGGAGGGGGAGAAGGAGGAGGAGGAGGAGGAGGAGGAGGAGGAGGGGAAGTAGGGGAAAGATCGAGAAACAAGTGGAGAAAGGAGGAGGAAGGGCAGGACAGCGAAGGGGGGGAGGGGGAGGTTGAGGGCAACGCCTCCGTGATCCACATGAGGAGGTCCTTTTGCTGAAGCTCCTGCCGCTCACATGGCGGGGCGCTGCGCCGTTCTTCGTCAAGCCTACCCACCTCCCCTCCCAACTCCCATATCTGCATTGATGCATCTCTCTTGTTTGTTAGTTGTTGTTATCTCTCTCTCTCTCTCTCTGTGATCCTCACTCTTTATGCATATATATAGATATAAATATATGTGCTCTCTCTCTCTCTCTCGTTTCTCCCTCTCTCTCTCTCATGTCCTCTCTCTCTCTCGCTCTCTCTCTCTCTTTCTTTCTCTCTCTCTCTCTCTCTCTCTCTCTCTCTCTCTCTCTCCGTCCCCTATCCTCCCGCCTCACCCATCTCCCTCGCTGCCACTTCCCCTCCCCGACCAGTCCCCCCCGCCCTCCGTGACCACCCTCCTCGCCCTTGCTCTTGACGTACAGATGTCATCCATCAATTTCTCTCTCTCTCTCTCTCTCTTTCCCTCTCTCTGTATCACCCTCTCTGGCTCTGTCTGTTGTGTTGTCGGTTCTCTCTCTGTCTCTCTTTCCCCTCCCTCTCTCTCGCAATAGTGAATTATGATTGGATTACGTCTCTCTCTCTCTCTCTCTCTCTTTTGCTCTTCCTCTCTCTCATCAATCCGTATGTATATATCTCGCCTTCTCTCACTCTCCGTCTCCCTGTTGCGCGTTGTGAGCTTGTTTGCTGTTGTTGTTGTTGCTGCTGTTGTTGTTGTTGCTGCTGTTGTTGTTGTTGGTGGTGTTGTTGTTGTTGGTGGTGGTGTAGGTGTTGTTGTTGTTGTTGTTGTTGTTGTTGTTGTTGTTGTTGTTGTTGTTGTTGTTGTTGGTGTTGATGTGGTTGTTGTTGTTGCTGCTGTTGTTGTTATTGTTGATGTTGTTGTTGTGTTTGTTGTTGTTGTTGTTGTTGTTGTTGTTGTTGTTGTTGTTGTTGTTGTTGCTGTTGTTGTTGTTGTTCTCTCTCTCTCTCTCTTTCTCCCATGTATAGATACACGCTGAAATATACACTCAGATGCACTAGAGCCATACGCGCTTCGCGCGCGCGCGCTTAGGTTCTATGGCGCAATCCATGCCGCTGTGACGAAACGAGAATGCAGTCCCGGGCATCCACCTGTCCTCCCCCCTCTTCCCTCCAGCTCCTTCCTCCTCCTACCTCCCTCATCGTGTTGCTACTCCTCGTCCCTCTGGGCGTTTATGCCGTCCCCCCTTTTCCACGAGCGCTCCTCAAGATCCCCCTTCCTAATGCGACGCCCCATCGCCCGTCCTTGTGCCCTCCCCTTCCCCTCCGACTAATCGTCGTCCTCCCCTTTCCTCTTCCACAGCCTCCCCTTCCTCCTCCTCCTCCTCCTCCTCCTCCTCCTCCTCCTCCTCCTCCTCCTCCTCCTCCTCCTCCTGGTCAGTCCTCCCCCCCCCCTTTCTCCCCCCCTTCCTCATGGGGACCGACCCGACGGCACCCACCGCAAGCGATGGCGAATCGCCGAACGGGACCCGGGACCTGCGCGTCTCCTCCTCCGGTGGCGCCCTACGCCGCTCCAATGCCTTTTCCTTATAAATACTCCGGATTTCGTAATAAAAGGGAGGGGGGTCTCATTTCGGGGGGGGTCTCTTCCAGGCTATCTTGGAGGGCCTGGGAGGGTCTGGGGACGATGTTCTGGAGGGTTCTCCCAGGGGGGGGGTCTAAGACTTTTCGTCTGGGAGGGTTGAGACGCCCTCCCTTTTATTACGAAATCTGGAATAACCTCTCCCTGTCGCACCCCGAGGCCAGTTTTTGGGGCGGGCCGGGCGTTCCGCCTGAGACTTCATCACAACTTATGACCCTGGAGCTTAAACATTGGCAATAGCTTCACAGATGGAGGGCGGGTCGTTTTCAAAATGTGACTCTCGCCTCAGCGCGGCGCACATTCGTTCTACAAGTTTACACGAGTTTGACGGATTGAGGGCGGGTGTTTTTCTAAATGGGGTTCTCGCCTTAGCGCGGCGCACATTCGTGTTAAACAAAATCAAAAATTTCACAAGTTGAGGGCGGTTCCTTTTCAAAATGTGGCTCTCGCCTTTGCGCGGTGCACATTCGTTTTAATCATTTGCAAGGGCTTCACGGATGCCCATTAAGAACGTGTAACAAATTGTGTTTTGAAGGGATTCAGGATTATGCGGGTGCAACAGTTATGTTGGTTCGCTGTGCTGAAGTCCAAGGAATGGAGTTCTGGCACGATTCAGGATTATCAAAGCGCAACAGTCAAGTTGATCTGTGGCGTTGAAATCCCGAGAACAATGTTTTGGCATGTTTCAGGGTCTTCAATCGGTTGTCTTCCAAAGAGGCAGTTCCTCAATAGAAATGAACCGTTGTAGGGGCCTATGAAGATGGAGCTTGGAGGGAGGGTTGATTCCAACATCGTTGATGACTCTTGGGTCTTGGGTTTACACTGGCCCTCCTCCTCCTCCTCTTCCGTCGTGCTTGCCGACGCCCGGGGCCGCGTAGCCGAGGCACACAGTCTCTCCCTCCGCCTACCGTCCCACGGCCAAGCGGACGACTGGAGAGAGCTCTTCAGCCCCTTCACGGCGAAGTCGACGGCCGAAGACCGAGAACTTCGCTCGGATCGTAGTGTAAAGAGAACAATCGAATACCGGGATCTCGCAAGCTTTCCGAGACGGATCCAGCACACCGAGACGGTCCAAAGGGTCCCACGGCAGCACCCCGAGCCTCAGACACTTGGCGAGGAGAGCGTGGAACCGAATGCGACACCAGTAATGGTATGGTAGATGTGGTCTTCGCCACCAGATTCAAGCGAGCAACCTACCTTAAAACAAACGTCTTCGGCTTGGGACTTCCGGAAACGGCACTGGGTGAACCATGGCTTGGAAACCGTCCCAAACCAGGCAGCGGCCAGGAACGGCTTCAACTTGGAAGCTACAAGCTGCAACTCGTCCCAAGGAATCGGGTTGGCATCGGGGTGCAGCGCATTCGATGCATCCTCTCTCCTCCTCCTCCTCCTCCTCCTCCTCTCCTCCTCCTCCTCCTCCTCCTCCTCCTCCTCCTCCTCCTCCCTCCTCCTCCTCCTCCTCCTCCTCCTCTGCCTCCTCCTCCTCCTCCTCCTCTGCTCCTCCCCTCCTCCTCTCTCCTCCTCCTCCTCCTCCTCCTCCTCCTCCTTCCTCGCCTCCTCCTCATCTGCCTCCTCCTCCTCCTCCTATCCTCCTCCTCCTCCTCCTCCTCTCCTGCCTCCTCCTCCTCCTCCTCCTCCTCCGCTCCTCCTCCACTGCCTCCTCCTCCTCTCCTCCTTGTCCTCCTCCTTCCTCCTCTGCCACCTCCTCCTCCTCCTCCTCCTCCTCCTCCTCCTCCTCCTCCTCGCTGTCCTCTCCTCCTCCTCCTCCTCCTCCTCCTCCTCCTCCTCCTCCTCCTCCTCCTCCTCGTCCTCGTCCTCCTCCTACTAGCCGCCGCTCTGGCGCGAGGAGCGCGAGGGGCGGCCAGAACGAGGGGGGAGGTCGCCCGCCGCGGCGTCGCGCAAGACGCGCGATGGCGCGACCCGTGGGCCAGTGGGTCTTGCGGGTGATGGGCTTCAACCCGAAGTTAAGTACAGGGCTGAGGACGCAGGAGATTGCAATGAGCTGCAGTAACATGGACGTAGTTATGCTGGCAGGAACACAGGCCTCCCATCGGAGGGTCGACGAAGTGCTGCCGAGGAAGATCTGCAAGAGGCTGGTGCTGGCGGCGGAGGCGGGCGCAGGAGAGCACAGCAGCAGATCCACGCGGCGCGCCATAACATTCGGAGCTAAACTCAAGGAGCAGCACGTGTGTCAGACATGGGCGAGCCCACCTGGAGCTGCGGGCCGCGCCCTGGCGGCTCGGATCCGACGAGGACCCCTGGACTTGGCAACCATTGTCATGGACTTCCCGCCGCAGCCCCGCCATGCCCGACTGGTCCGGGACTGCAGAGCCACGGTGCAGTTGCTGACGCAATGGTGTGAGCGCATTTTGCAGCAGTTACCGTGCAGATGCACACCGATGGTCTACGCTGATGTGAATGACGGAGTTGGGATCAGCAGAGTATCTGGACAGTGGCGGAGGATTGATTCTCAGTCACTGGGTCCAGGCCGAGCACGAGAGCAGCGACTAGGGGGAGCAGGAGAGATGATCCGCCAAGTCAACGAGCGCCAGTACATGTTTGTGATGAATTCCCGCAGCGACAAGTTAGAGCACACATATTATGGGACGGGTGGGCACAGCAGCTGTATTGACTATCTTTTTGTTGTGGACCTCCTCGATGGAGGTGGGCCCCCGTGGCGGTGCTGGTGCCGCACCTCCCTCCTCGGATTCTCACGGCAGGCGGCCAGGCGCCGCTCTGGCCCGCAAGG